ATGGTTAGTTATTTTTTGTCGTACAAGACTTAAATTGAGATCAACATGAATCCAATTAGAACAACTAATGCACTCGTTTACAAAAAAAAAAAAACTAATGTATTTGAGAGAAAAAAAAAGCAAAAATAAATCATCATCCTCGAATGAACGGCTCGAATCACAAACCATTGAATTGGCAACCATAAATCAAAAGTGACCAACTTACTTCTATTCTAACAATGCTTGCCTACAACCTATAGAAGAGATGTAATTGATCGATATCATATCAGTGTACATGATACACGTGTCTACGATTACAATGCATATGGATAAGTGTGACTAACAAACTCCCTAAACCTGTGGAGTACTCTACGTATTCAAGTATGGATAAGCATTAGCTAATACACTAATTAATACTCCCTCCGTCCCAATTTGTTTTGCAAAGTCAACATTTTTTTGTCAACCAATAATAAAAGTCAACCCTCGTTATGGATAATTAATTCAATTTTTAATAATTAAAATTTATATATTCAAAAACTACATTAAAATCTCTTCAAAGTTGTAAACTCCAAATTAGAAAATAATTACAAATTGACATCCTAATTAAGTGAACAAAACGAAACTGTTTGACTAAGAAAAGTCAAATTTGCAACTCTTTTTGGGACGGAGGTAGTATAATAATTAGCTAATTACGTATTACTACGCCCCGCAAGATGGAGCTTCCGTCGGAAACTCCCATCTTGGATCTAAACTTGTCAAAAAGAGTCTTGCCCAGAGGTTTCGTCAGTGCCGATCTTACATAAACTTGGGCCTGAGTCGAACTTTCATAAAAGAGCCCTATACATAGTATTTGTTTGTAATACTCCGTACAACATATTTAGAAGTAGAGGATAAATATCACAAAAACTGAATGCTTAAATAAAATTCTTACGTTACAACATAAAAAAATCACAATTTTGATTAATTTTGGATTGAAAATCACACAATTTTTTCATGATAATCTTAAATAAAAAATAGATCTAAATTCTCAAATATATAATTTCACTTGCAAGGCACGAGCCAGTTTGACTACTTTGTAAAACAAGAATCAACTTACTTTTAATTTTTAAATAGCATCTGTTTATGCAAATCGCAGATACTTTAAACCCAAACAATAATATACGTAGTAATATTTAGTCAATAGTTATAGCAAATAGAAAATAGAAGTTAATAAGTTAGTTCATTGGGTATTCATAAATCAATAGTTGTCAAATTAGCAAATCATTCTAAAAGCTAGATTTTTGAAAATAATAACATATCGATAAAGTTGGGACTTCATATTTGTACTTCACTACCTGGTTCATAACTCTATTTTCCCGCATATTTTGTTACTTCTGTATCGGATGATTTAAACTACACAACAATGTAGCTTTTGTTTTTTTAATACATATATATATATAATATAAATGTATTTAAATTTTTGGGCCCCTAATTTTTTAATTTTTTTGGGGCCCTGAGGCACAAGCCTCACTGGCCTAAGGGAAGGACCGGCCCTGGGTTTCGTCAGAATAGCTGCAATTTGATACTTCCGCCGTCCCGTTATGATTGTCCCATTTTACTTTTTTGGGAAGTCCCACTAAGATAGTCTCATACCAAATTTGATAAAGTTTGTGTGGCTCTAAATCATTCTTATTATTTTTACTTTTTCAATTCAATATCAACCACATAAAGTGACTTTTCTTAATAATTGTGCCACATTCTTCCGTCCCAATGTTAGTGGGATGGCGATAATACTTATTAGAGATGTGTCGAACGCACAGTGGCGGACCCAGAAAAACAAAGCCATGGGGTCCCTACTATAATGTTTTTTTAATTAATACGGAGTATAAAATTAATAAAATAAAGTCAAATATTAAAGAAGTACAACGCTTCTTAGTTAACGTACATGATCAAAACATTAAGATAGTGTAAAGAAACATTACCAGCCCGTTTGGTGACTCTGTTTTTTTGACTAATTGGGCTCATCATCCAATTTTTTTACCAAACATGTAAATTTTGATTTCGCGCGCTGACCTGTGTAATTATAGGAAAAAATAAGTTCGAAGTTACTTTTCAGCCTGTATTGATTGAAGTTACTATAGGTGATCATTTTAACCGTTTGTATATATATATATTTCTTTATTTTAATTATAAAATATATTTTAATTATATTTTTTCGTCAATCAACAAAATCAAACAATTCAACCAGAACTTCATAAATTTCAATGTAAAAGCTAATAAAATCGATTTGAGTATTGCCAAACGGGCTCTACATATACAATTCATTCTACAAAAATTTATGGGATAAGGGTCAGATAGGGCCTCGAACTCGAAAAAAAAATGTCAAATAAGGTCATATTTAGGATGCTCTGTCCGGCCGACGCCATTTGGGGCGGTTCCAGATGCCATTTTTTGATGAATTATTTTGAGCATCTTCCTCATTAAGTCTAGATTACCCATACCAAATTTCAGCTAAAAATTCAACCGGGAAGGTAGTCAAATAATTTTTTGAAGATAATTGTGAAGTTAAACAACCCCGTACATTTCGGAAAATCATTTGACTACCTTCCCGGTTGCATTTTTAGGTGAAATTTGGTATGAGTAAACTAGACTTAATGAGGAAGATGCTCAAAAAATTTCATCAAAAAATTCCATCGGGAACCACCCCAAATGGCGTCGGCCGGACAGAGCATCCTAAATATGACCTTATTTGACATTTTTTTCGAGTTCGAGGCCCTATCTGGCCCTTATCCCAAAATTTATTGATTTATCTTAACAAGGCAAAATGACTAACTAAACTGTCTGCGCTTCTTTGTTATGAAGCAGCAGTCAGTTTATGCCATTTTTTTACGCAATTTCACTATGGTCATCCGGAAACAGTTTCTCTGTACTTTAGTACAGGTGTAAGGCTGCGTACATCCGACCCCCCTCTTACCCGTTGTAGGTGGGAGCCTTTGCGTTATTGGGGTAATGATGAAGAAGATCTTAACATTTAAAGAAATTTTAGTAATTAATCTAAAAAATAAATCATGCAATCGAGAGACTAGAGACTGGATGCGATTGGTCTAAAACGGGAGTGGCAGATAGCGAGGATTGATGCTGACATGCTGGAGTCTATATGCGGTTGCATAGGTATTGAAAACTATGTAGTATGAAAGAAAGTTGCCATTTGGGGATTTAAAAAAAAAGGTGACGGAGGAAGGTATCAAACCTGGTACATCCTGGTAAAGGAAAATGTAACTTCGACTCGTCGAGCATTCAACCGCTCCTCTATGCCGGTCGTTTGGGTGTTTACTAGCTTTCCTTTTATATATACACATATATTAATTAATTTTGTATAAAATATATACAATATATAGGAGATTGCGAACGCATAACTGCGAACGCATAATTGACCACTTTCAACCAAATCACGAACAAAGTTTAAATCAAGGGCCAGATGCTTCATGCGAGATAGAAAGATTGGATTTATATAAAGATACGTTGCACCTTGATTGCCACAAAATAAATTGGGTGTATCGGTCAACTTGATATTTAGTTCATAACTGAGCACATTTTTTTTTTTTAATTTTATTAATAGAAGTTAAATCAAAGTGCAATCATAAATGAGTTTAGCACGTGGAAATTAAAAAGGATAAAATGAAAGAAAGCAGAAGATAAAAAGCACTACAGAAAGGAAAAACTTTATTCGAGCCCTATAAGTCCTCTAACAATGGAAACCCAGAGCAATCCAGTACCCTATTAGCGTTGTTACGCTTTCCCCCCGCTCTAGAGGCACCATAAGTGAAACCATCATCTTCCACTTGTTTAGGCTCAAGAAATGCATCTTTTTAAATATGAGATTCTTTGTAGATAGGGTGATCATTGAGTTACTTGTGCTCTAGGATTTGATGTGGTCTTGAACTGCGCAAAAGTTCCTTAAAATTTTTACGCCTGATACATATGGAGTCACTTTCTCTAAAGTCAAGTAAAAGAATTTGTCTGTGGTAGAGCGGTACGAGTTCTTTCTTCAAGATAATCTGGTGCAGCATCAAAGAGAAAATGTAGACCTACTCCATCATTATCAAGGCGTGTATAAATAATCTTTTAAACTATCTTCCTCAACTTTTGCAATGACATTTATTACCATTCTTTCCTCGACTGTATTAGCAAAAAAATCCCGCAAAAGAAAAAATTCAGGGGAAGAAGAATTTGACAAATAAAACTCTACGACAGCTTCATTTTGTCGTGGTTTTTTCCAATAGTGTTTGTACCCTTAACACCAATCGGAGAACCAGTTTGAGAAATCAAAACTGCTTGCAAGTCAGTCCAAAAAGGGTCCGAGAGAGAAATATTATTGTCTTAGTTTTCATACTCTAGGATTAATCACATGACAACCTCATGAAAATTATATTGCTTCATCTTCAATTTTTCCTTAGTGGCGGAGTCCAAAATCTTCCGAAAACATCTTTTTAAAAATGAGATAATCCTATATTGTGCATTTGTGCCACACTTTCGTAATTATAATTGACGCCCCGCCGAAGGTTAACCCTACTTCCCTCTTTCGATCAAACGATGGTAGCGACCACCAACCCCCAAATCTGTTATGCTCATAACAAATTCTATAGGATTTAGAGAAAAGGGACACACGTCATTCTTAAGGGCGTCCCTCACTCCCTCAACATCGATTAGACAGTTAACTCGGAGGATGAAAATTGAACATTAATAAAAAATGGCAGATTGCAAGTGGAGATCTGACTTAGGTACTTGTAAAAGTTCTATGCACTTTTACATAGTAACCATTGTCAGTATTTGAACATGAGACTTACCCTTGTGATCTCCTATCTACAAATTGAGCTATGCCCAGGAAGGAACGGCCCATGCATGTGCACCCAGACCGGGCCCAAAATTTTAGAAGCCCCCCAAAATTAATACAATAATGCTCTTTGTACACACAATTGCACCCACCTTATACACACTATAAAAGCCCCCAAAAAAATTACCCCCACTTTTCCTTCCTCCCCTTTTCCCCTCACCTCACTCGCATAACTCCCTCACTCCCCCCGTTTCTTGAAAATCAAAACACCCGCCGCCCTTGAGAGTCGAAACTCCTCTCCCCCATACTTGTCACTCATATCCCCATGAGGTCTCTGCGTTTGAGGTGTGAACCGGCAGCCATCTCCGGAACGACGCTCGCTCCCCCCCTTCTGGTGTAACTCTTCTCAATCGAAGCCCTGTCCAAGCGATTTGAGGTTTCAAGCGAGGAGGCCCCATCGTCGCGCACTTGTTTAGGACGACGAAGCTCACCAATGGTGCGAACCCCACTGTCAGAGATGGCGGAGTATGTATCATTTCCTAACCTTTTTTTGTTTTTAGGGTTATATTTTTTTGACTGTGGGCTGGTTTATAGACTGTGAATATGTGAAGTATTGTCTCTGAATCAACACTTATGTATGATATGGTATGCTTCCTTTGTTGATGTCTGTAAGGTGTGTGTGTGGTGGTGAAATCTTCATTAGGCGTTAATTATTGTCTGTGAATGAAATTGTGTTTGTGATATAGTATAATTGTGTTGTTTCATGTTTATAAGTTGCCTGTGTGGTGGTGTAAAGTAAATTTGTTGTTAATTATTGTCTGTGGATCAAATAATGTACATTTGGAGTTCATAAGTTGGCTGTGTAGTGGTCTGGTTCATTTGGAGTGTTAGTTATTGTCTGTGAATGAAATTGTGTCTATTATAGTGTAGTTCCTTTGTCTATGTTTATAAGTTATGTGTGTGCTGGCATAAGTTTCATGTGGGGTGTTATTTTATGTTTGACATTTATGTTTGTTCAACTGCCAGTCGGCTGAAGTTACACATTCCGAGTGACGAGTATTTCCCCGCGCAGTACTCTGTGTGTTCAGACTTTAGAAATGCAGCCAAATGGGTAAAAAAGAGGTTAACTGAAAGACAAAGGGAAGTGTTTAGGGATTTACCATGGGGGCATCTGATTGACATCCCAGAGACAGACAATTCTGGGCAAATATTGCACATGCTGGCCTTACACCTAGTGAAGGAGCAACCGGATGATGAGCTGTGGTTTGCCATTGGGGGTACACTGTATAAGTTTACTTATGTGGACTTTTGCTACATAAGTGGATTACCACACGGTGCTGAACCAGAACTTGAAGCAGCTGCGGAAGAAGATTCTGAACAGGATGGTGGACATGATTCTGGACACGATTCTGCCGAAGAACATGAACCAGTTGGGGCACTTGCTCATAAATATTTGGGTGACAAAGTTGACATTACCCACGTGACTTTCAAGAATAGATTAAAGAATCTGAGGTTTTCCACACGTGCTGATTCGATGGATGCTGTGAAGTTGGCCTCGTTGTACTACATTGAGTGCGTTTTGCTAGCAAAGGACAACACTACGAGGATAAATGCATCATCAATCAGATTGGTGAATGATTTAGAGGCATTCAGGAAGTGTCCGTGGTCACTTCGTTCGTACAAGATATTAGTGAAGCATATGAAGGACCTGATGCATGACCAACCTGAGAAGTTCAAGGAAAAAAAGCAGGCCAATCCTAATTATAAGAATGCGAAGTTATCATTGTACGGTTTTCCACTAGTTTTGCAGGTATATATGACAACTTCCCTATTCCATATGCTCTTGCACGGTATATTTTCTACCGTCTTCACATAAAATGATATCACAATAAAGCTTTCCTTCAAGTAATTCCCTTTGAAACTCCGCGAACTTAGAAATGGTGTAAATTTGTTGCACTTGTTTTTCCATTGGATATCTAGTCACACATGGAATCATTTTGGTAAATGAGCTAGTATCCGCTTGAAATTCTTTTTCCACCTTATCACGCAAAGCACATCCGTATTGTTCAACAAATTGTTTTAGAGTGGTTTTGGAATTGACAAACTTATCGAAAAATGCGTTGATGCTCTCACTTCGTTGAGTTGTGGACATGCCGGCCCAAAATGTTGGCTTTAAATAACATGGTACCCACCGCTTTCTTTCATTGTACATCACACGAAGCCAATCATGCTCTTGAAGTGCAAACCTGAACACATTTAAAGCACACAAAGTAAGTTTGTAAAAAAAATCACAAAGAACTTATTCTCTGCCCACAAACACATTGTGTCTGTGACGTACAAACTTTATCGTCTATGACAGATAGACCTGTCTATGAGGCAGAGAAATAGTTACTGGCAGAAGAAGATAAAAAATTACAAATTCATACCTTTGAACCATGTCAAGCCATTTCTCCTCAAACTCTTGGGTGTATTGTGAATCATAAATGCAGTCATGTATAACATCCAATATTTCATCTTTATGTGCATCCCCTCCGAGTTTTTCGGGTACCTTTTTCATTATGTGCCATAAACACCATCGGTGGTTGGAATTTGGGAATACAATTGCAATGGCGTTTTGCATAGCACGGTCTTGGTCGGTAATAATCCCCATTGGAGCAATTCCATCCATACATTCAAGCCATGCTTTAAACAACCACACAAAGGTTTGTGTATCTTCGTTAGAGACTAATCCACATCCCATTAGCAATGATTGCCCGTGATGATTTACCCCGACAAATGGTGCAAAAGGCATGTCATACCTATTCGTAAGATAGGTTGTGTCAAATGTTATGACATCTCCAAATTCTTTGTACGCATATCTAGACCTATTATCGGCCCAAAATACATTACGCAATCTTGACTCCTCATCTAAGTCAATTACAAAGAAAAATCCGGGACATTGGTCTTGCATTTTAGCAAAGAAACCTTGAATGGCAATTGCATCGCCACTACCTAGCCTAAGTTGTCTCACTTTATCTATATAGTTCCTACAATCTTTTTCAATGAAGGGAAGTTGATCATATCCGCCGGCTTCAACAACGGCCGCGGTGAAGCTTTTATTAAGTCGTATTCCCGCAACTTCATTTATTGCAAGTTTCCTCGCCATTCCATGCGTCATCCTCCTATGGCACCGAAATAGTCTAGCCTTTGTTGGACTCATAGGATGTGAATGTTGTAGAAACACTTTTGAAATTTGCCAAAGTCCCGAATAAATTACGTGCGCACGTAGTCTAGCTCCACACCCTATTTGCATTGAAGGTTGGGGCTTCAATTGATTTTTTGACTGACTACCTCTATGACCAGCCCGCGAACACTCCAGTACAACTGACACAATCTCTCTTCCTCTTTTGTCTTTTGTTGTGCTCCTAGTTCTTATAGGAAATCCCAAACGCTTCCCATATGCTTTGTAAAATTCATAGATCGCTTCTCTGCTTTCAAACTCCATACCAACTTCTGGCTCTGTACCAAGTTCACTCTCCTTTACCAACCCTTCTCCATCTGTTATGGTAAATTGCTCATTTATTGATGCATTTCAACACACTTAAACTTACACACAGACAGTCATATATGCACACACAGACAATTCCAAACTTTAACATACCCGTTGAATACTACACAAGCAAATCAGTCTTCCACTGATTTCATACAAAAACAAACACACACATAAACAAGTGACACCTTCTACAACTTGCATGTGTCACCGAACGTTTGCATGTGTTTAAAACAATTTAGTACACACAGACAGTGATATTTGCACAGACACAGACAATTCTAAAGCTTCATAGACACTTTGAATACTACTAAGGGGTAAGCACAGACAATTTTTAACTTTCACATGATGTATAATTTTTGAAGAAACATATGCATCAGTTGAAACTAACTTAGGGGTACACAGACACATTGTGTATCCACCACTATTTACGTACACAAACAATTATACACATAAACACATAAGAACATGCCTGTGAGAAGAAAGCTGTTATAATCTTCATTAAACTACTAAAAACATGAGATGAAGTCCTACCAAGGTCAGAAACGACGTCCATGGCCGCCGGCGACGTCTGTCCTTCATCCTCTCCGCCTAGGTCCGTCTCAACGTCACCTTCTCCACGTCCGGCTTTCTGTCCATCAACTTCTCCACCTCCGGCTTTCTGCCCAGAGCCATCCCCGCCTCCGCAAGTCATGTCGTCACCGTCGAGTTCTCCAGGTCCGTCGGCGTATCCTGCTTCTCCACCTCCGGGAACAGCATTCAACAAGCCCCAAAACTCAGGGTCGTTTCTCACCATGCTCTCGTCCATGTAAAAATCCATGGTGGAGGAAGTAAAATCAGAAATTATCTTTGCTTGTGCTTATGATCGTCGAAGGAAGAAGAGAGGAGGGGCGGGTGTTTTGATTTTCAAGAAACGGGGGGAGTGAGGGAGTTATGCGAGTGAGGTGAGGGGAAAAGGGGAGGAGGGAAAAGTGGGGGTAATTTTTTTGGGGGCTTTTATAGTGTGTATAGGGTGGGTGCAATTGTGTGTACAAAGAGCATTATTGAAATTAATACTCCCTGTACTAGTTTTATACAGCCCAGGGTTCGAAGCTTTGAACTGCAAAGTCTGCGAAGGCAACTGAACGAAGCGCGTGAACGAAGGGAACCGCAAGATTGAAGGCTGGAGCTTAACTGCGAAAGGTCGAAGGAATACAGAACGAGTGCGAAATACAGAAGGGAGAAGACGGGAAGAAAGACCCGCCGACGACCGCCGCTAGTCAGCGCCAGGCCTCCAGCCTGCCACCACCGCACGTCCACACCACGCAGCAAGGCCCTGCCTGACCGCCTCCAGCCTCCAGGACCACCACCGCACCAGTCCGGCAGTCCACTGTCCACGCTAGGCCGCTACCCGCACTCCTGCAGTAACCGGTAAGCAAACTAAGCAGATTTTTCTGATTTCTTTGACTTTGATTCTTTGAATTGCAAATTAGTGAAATTAATTAGTTCTTTGTTGCCTACTTGTGTGGCCCTTGTTGTGATTTGTTTATTAAGTAATTGAATTGAGAATGAGTGTGTTAAAAATTATTCAATTAAGAATTTGATTAATGTAAATTAAATTTCAAGCTAATTTTTTTTAACATGTAGAGGATTAGGGGAGAATTTGAATAATTGATACGTAGTATTTGGTAGTAAATTGTGTTGGAACTTGGGAAAAGGCCTAATTTTTGCTGTTGCACAGACCCCAAATTTCTCAGGACCGGCCCTGGCTACGCCCACTGACATCATCTTATGGGATTTAGAATATTCGTACCTAATAAAACAACAAGATTTATAACCTTTTTCAAACTGCAATAGTGGGTCCCTGAGCATTGAGTTTATTTCCGTTGTACCCAAAAAAAGATATGACTATGAGTTCATTTTTTATATGAAAAAAAGGAAATTTCTCTAAATCTGACTAAATAAAAGCAAAATTGCAACAAGTCTAAATTCCCAAAATAGGACTAACCCTTCCTATTCTACTTTTTCCCTTGTCATTCTTAATAGAAATTAAAAAAAACATAAAAAAATAAAAATAAAAAAAACCTAAATAAATAAATAAAAAATATACGGGACTCAATCACCACTTCAACTACCTTCCAGCACTTTCACATCAGGTCGCCGGAAAAGAATGTCAAGTTGGAGAAAAAATGTCATTGTGATGACAATTTTGAGAAAAAAGTTGAATCTTTATGACATTTTCATTAGAATGTGAAACTTTTTATACAAGATGGCATTATTTCCGACGATTGAAGTTGGTGATGTTGGGAGGTGGAGGATGCGGTGGCAGTGAACTACATATTTTTTTAAATATTTTTTAGGTATTTTATTTTATTTTTTCCACTTTTTATTATTACAAAAATATTTTTTGATATTTTTTATATTGTTATTATATAGCTTAATCTTAATTTTATTATTAATAAAATAAATCTATTAGAATTTAGAAGAAGAGGGTAGAACACGGGATATATATTACTCTATTTTGAGAATAAAAGAATCATAGTGGGGGAATCATAGTGTTATTGTTACATTTATGGCTACTTTTAGTCTTATTTAGGACACGTAGTATTTTTTTTACATTCAGAAATGTAAACCCTATTATCCCTTTCAATTCTTCTTTCTAGAGACCCAACTTTCTAAGCAGTCATTCTCCATCTCCCTGCTGGAATCCAAATCAACGGCCTTATCTTTCAGGTGAACACCCTAGAGGTTGTGTTGAATAGATTGATCAAAAGCAGTCCTGTTGCCCCCCAAAAAAATCTAAGTTTCCACTGCAAGTTTGTTTCAAACATATTAGGCCAATTCTAA